TATTATAACACAAAATCATATGAAAAGTTTTTAATTTATAAATTATAAAGTTAAAACTTCAATTTTTTATTGTTGTTATAAAAATGGCATGTGGCCACACACCATAAGTGGGATAATGAAAAGTCCCACTTTAACGAAATAAAGCATGTAACGCCGGCGCAGGAATGATGCCCCACTTGCGGCGAACATCTTCCAGATCTTCATCCAGGTGCTGCTCGTAGTAAACGCACATCAGGTCCGTGGCGGAGTTCCCAGCCCTGAAAGCCCAGGGATGAACTCCCGGAAGAGCGCCTCCCTCTGGTGTGGCTTGAGCCGCCACGAAGCTCCGGCAACCGAGAGGAAGCACATCGGCATGGTGGTCTGCTGGAGCTCGAGCGCTTTCAAGGTGAGCTCTCCCATGACGCTGGTGGGCAGGCCAAAGAGGACGTGCCAAAAGTCGTGAACTTCCCGGTCTCGTGTCGCAACGTAGGCGAGCTGCTCGGACTCTAGAAATCGAACTGGAGGGCGATCGTTGGGGCTAAAGTTCCTGGATCCCATGAACTGGGCGTAGGCGGCGCCAAAGGTATTGGGTGGGAGATCCCAGGCGCGAGACATTGGCGACGATGTCACTCTGGGACGCTCCGCGACAATTCTCTGCTTGGAGCAAAGGAATTGCTTGGAGATGGATAGAAAGAACAAGATTTGCTTGCTACCTGGCCCTCGGGGCTTCGCTCCATACGCTCCAGCATTCGCTGGAACGCAAATCCTCCCGTGGTCTCGCCCACTGCCGATCCCGCCACGACGGCCGCGCGCTGCCACCAATTGAGAGGAATCCTGGCGCTGTCAAGCCCTAGATACCTGACCAGATTCTTTAGATGTAAAGAATATTTCACATTATTTTATTAACCAAATAGCGAGCTAGCTGAGAAGACGAGGGCAATGGATTGGCGCAGTGGCCTATGCTCCGATGCGCGGAATAAGATCGTCAAGAGAATGTGAGCGCTCCCCTCTATCTCTCTCGATTGATCCTCATGGCCTTGTCTCCGGTAATGGGCAGAATGGACACGCTCCAGAAGCATATGCCACACAATCCGCCCAACGAGCTGCTCAAGATCGCATGCCGCTTCGAGGAGAAGATTTACATGAGGGCAACGGATCAGGCAAGTTTCTCCTCGCTCCTCTGATCGGATCGATGATAGAAAAGTTTCTTTTTTCCTTGTTCAGCAGGACTATCTCCAGAGGATATCCATGAAGATGCTCTCGCTAGAGAATAAGTCGTCCCAGAACAACAGCAACCCTCCCATGCCAAATCGCTCAGATGCTTCTCAGATGGTTTTTGGGACTTTGTCTCTCATGGGTGCTCAACAGCCAGGGCTCCAGCAGCAGCAGCTGCCATTCAGGAGTAAACTCTAACTCTCCCTAGGAGATCAAATGAACAGTACTCTCAATCCAACTGTGGGTGGCATTACTTAGTTAAATATTTTGTATAGTTCATCAAAATTTCATTTTAGCCACATAATTAGAGCACTTTAGTAGTCACATTGAGCTATAGTGTTTTAAAATATTATCCCAAATTCTGAAAAGACTTTCAATATTATTCAAATTAACATCTTTATAAAAACGTTTGATTGTAATATATTTAATATATACTGCTTAGATATACTACTAACCATGTAAGTTTTTACTTTTAATTTTAAAGGATTTTCTAATATTTTATATAGTTTTAAAAACTAGTATTTACAAAAAAAAAAGAAACAAATTTTATATATAGCAAATAATTTATGATAGCAATTTTTAGGGGAAGTATGAAGGCAAGTGTACCTAAGGTGGATGCCTTAGCAAAAGATTGTACAAATGTAAAATATATAAAATAAAAATATGTGTGTTTGAATTTTGTAATATATATATATATATATATATATATATATATATATATATATATATATATATATATATATATATATATATACTGTGCAGTTAATAAAATATTGTTTTGATTTTTTAATATATTAAAACTAAATGGAATAGTTCAAAATAACAAATATTGTATTCCACTTTGATTGAGGGAATTATGCCTAGAAAATGCTAGATGAATACCAAAATCAATTCTTATAAACTTGATAATATAACCATTTAAAACAAAATATAAGTAATAATAAATTTTTATTAACAAAAATATAATATACAAATT